GTTGAGGACGAGGGTTCCCGACGTACAACTGATCATACCCAAATTGACGAGCGAACCTATAGGGTTGGTAGGGCTCGATGAAACAGTTGACGCCTTGTCGGAAGATCAAGTAGCCTGGCCTGATGGAGAGAAGCCAGTGGAAAACACCCCCGCTCAGCTGAGTGAATCCGTTAGGACCCGCTACATCCTGATATTCGGCTCCGTAAACGCCGCCCTCAAAATCAGGGAAACAGCGGAAGATATGAAAGTGGGTGTCTCGCGCCAAAATTTGGCGAATTCTAACCGTATACCCCCATTCCCATTTCGCAGATTCTAGTCGTTGCGCGAATGGGATGAATGAATCTTCCGGGGGAGAGGCTGCACTCATTAAAGGAGGACAGTGGAGCACGTACCAAGCCATCAGATAGGTGTATGGCAGTGGCACCCTGGGGTTGGGAGTTTTGAAAGTCTTGTGACCCCCAGACTCCACCTCTGTAACATCAACGAAGTCCGAGGCCAACTCCCGCAGTCCATGCTGCAAACAACTCACCATAGCATGAAGGAGGCTTACAGGTTTCCCATGGGCCAAAAGGACAGCCGGGTAGATCACCTCAACAGCGAGGGCGTCGACCGGCCTAGTAGGAACGACGCAACGCTTGAGCCACAGCATCAAGAACCCAGCCAACGGCGCTGTGTCGGAAATTGGAATCAGAGCTTGATAATGGAAGCTTTTAAACTCTGTATGAGTCGGGAAAACATCTTCCTTGGCCTCATTTGTGTAGTGGGTGGTAGCATTGTCGATTCGGGCTTGAACTTCCTCCAAAGTGCTTGCAGATAGTCTGGTCACTGAGGCTCCTTTATTAGTCAAATTCTGGAATAAATATTCCGCCCAAGATACTTGTTTAATGTCGCTTTCTCGAGCCCCCATCAGCTGCATGCAAATATGGAAGTGACACATGACTTCCCAAAGGGTGGAATAAATTTCGGGGTTGGTCTTCTCTAAAATTTTAAGTTCCGCTGATCCCGGAACAAACTCTTCGTACGGCAAATCCCCAAGAAGAAGACCCGAGACTTCATGCATCTCGTGAAGAGCAAAACCTAACTCCCCCACAGGGGTGAAGAAAGTACAGGTCTCGGGATTATACTTCTCCAATATAGAGAAGAAATGAAAGTGGCTCTGGACAATCCCGAACTTGGTAGCCCGTACAGGAATCTGCAATCCAGCTCGAGTAAGAGGTACTTCCAATTCATCCAAAATGAACTTGGTCATCCGGGTCCACCACCCTGTCACCGGAGAATGAACCCAGCCAGAAGTTCTAAATCCTTGCGCGGGAAACTCTCCTTTCCTCGCCACAAACTTCTTGACAAAGGTATTTGCCGGACTGGCCACTTCGCCAAGGGGATACTCCTTAGCAAATAAACCTGGCCGTAAAGCTGTCACCTGCCTGTTGTAACCGAGTGTGCGGACCCCGTGAAAAGTCAGAGTTCCGAGAATAACTCCATCCTGATCCTTAACCAGGGGCTAATTCATACGCCGTGGGATGGAAGCACACTGGAAATAAGATATGGGGAACATCCTCTCCATATTGGGCAAGAAAAGGTTGCGGTCCCCAACTTTCCGTAGCCACTGGTAGTCCCCGTCGTAAGCAGCATCCGCCTCGAAGTCAACAAAATCCCCGAAGAGGAATCCAGGTTTGACTATTGGCTTACGGCTCGAGTTTTCAAGTCGAGCATCCGTAACCAATATCCTAAGGGTCTCAGGAGAAGCTTGGGTGATCAGTTCCACGCGACTCTTTTCCCTAATTAGGAAAACGGGGAGTTCTTGGCGCAGGTTGAATGTCATGTTCATGTCCACACCACCTACATACCCGAAATGGTGGCAAAAAGGGAGAGGTTGACTGGTATGACGTACTACAAAATAAAGAAAAATTTAGACAAGGCAAATGCAAAGCCCAGACGCGAAGGTCGAACCTAGCGTCAAAAATCTCAGACGCGAAGGTCGAACCTCGCGTCAGAAAGTTCAGACGCATAGGTTGACCCTCGCGTTAAGAATCTGAGACGCGGAGGTCGAACCCTTCGTCGAAAAGACTAAACGACAGAGTCCAGCCCCGCGTTATTGAAACGAGTCTCCTCGTTGATCTAGAGATCAGAACTTGCCGAAACAAGTTTAATGACCACGGAGGTCGTACTCACCGTCAATCAAAGGAAGTTGAGGCGGCACATTCGCCTGAGCAGCAGCGCCGCCGGCCGGCGCAGACGGCGCCGACCCTTGAGCCGCGATGACGTCGGGCTTGGAAGGACGAGAGTCAACCGGCTTCTTGGGTGCCATGGAATCTAGTCAGAGGAGATGAACAGTTTTCGCCGGAGAGAACGAAAATTTTTCGTTGGAATTTCAAGAAGAGTCGAATGACTCTTGATTTGACCTCCAGCGGTCTATTTATAGACAGCTGTGAGCTGTCAAATCGTAACGGATGGGATTCGAGGCCAGAATCCCGCCTAAACTTGACCTTAGCGTTCGAGTTAGTTGAAATTCCAAAACGCTGAGCTCACCTACGCGTTCCAATTATTAAATACAGAAGTTATTTGGACAACTATAATAGCAACTTCTTGACTACCAAGGCTACCATAATCATCAAGGCGACCAAAGCCGGGGAGAAACAGGCGACTCCGCTAGGGAGTCTATTGGCGAAGCACAGATAGATTATAGTCAACAATATTAGAATCATCTGGCTCGATCAGAAGGAGTGAGCAATCAATTCACTAAATTTTGGGATCCAAAGTATTCTGAAAATTCGTCCCAGTCAACCGCGAACTTTCGAAAACTTTGGACGGGGTTCTGTAGGCTGTCTAAAAATCACAATGGATAGCTGATCCAAACAAGTTCTGACAAAGGAAGTTACAATCAAACGACTTTCTAATCGATGTATCTGCAACTCTGCAACCGCTATAAACACGGCATCATCTTTGAGATGATTGATCTTGATGGCTGCGACACCAACATGACTAATATTATATTAGCAACTATTAGAGATGCTGATGAGCAGTGTAATGATTTTAGAAATAAAGGTTGGACTTAGTTGGTGAGTTGCTTGGTAGAGAGCTGTGGGCAAATATTCGTCTAAAAATCACTATGGATGATTGATTCCCGTCAAGTTACAACAATGGAAGCTATAATCAAATAGCTTTCGTGCCGACAAACGAAAGCTGCAAATGGAGGACTTTTCACATAGATCGAGAAGAGTTACAATTCAACGATACTTCCGATAACTGATGAAAACTCTATTCAGCAGTCTTCACAATCTACAGTGAAAGTTACAATCTGACGACTTTCACATTCCACAACAGCTAAAGCTAGGATTACTGAACAACGGTCCTTGCAACGCTCTGTAGAAGAGGTTACAGATCAACTAATCCCTTCTAAATTGTGGAAGTCACCCCGCGTCACAATTTTGGAAATGCAGGCGACCCCCGCGTTTCCAAGCTATAACAAGCCAAACGCGAGCGACTCTCGCGTTCAGGAGGTTCAGCCAACACCGACCCCCGCGTTTCCAAGCGACAAAAAGCCAAAACGCGAGCGACCCTCGCGTTCATTGGTGTTCAGCCAACACCCAACCTCGCGTCTCAATTCTCGCGTTCATTGGTGTTCAGCCAACACCCAACCTCGCGTCTCAATTCTAAGAGGCGACGTTGGGTTCTGAATGCCAGATTGGGCGTTTGACTCGTTCAAATACGAGTCGAACGGTTTCAAAACTGTTTTCCCACGATCTGAGGAAATCACGCCCACTTAGGAGCGGATTTAGAGGGCAGTTACAACCTCTTATCCACCTATAAAAACTCAACAAACTCAACTGAGTTAGAGGCTGGCTTTTTGGTACGGAGAAGCAGCAAATTAGTTCTTCAGGATCTCAACTGCACAGAGAGGCAGGAGAGAGACAAAAATCCTTGGAGATAGGATTTTTGAATCAAGTCCAGAAGATCAAAACCGAAAGGATTCTTCAACAACAGAATATCTGCTTGGTCATTAATCGAATTTTCGGTTCTAACAACTCTATTCACAGAGTTCTAACTCGTTCGGAGTTCTTAAACTCATTCAGAGTTACCCATCAAACTTTCTACAGAAGTTCATCGTTCCCACGAGAAAAAAGAAGGTCGAATCGTCAACGGAGAGCAAATTCAACGTGAACAATCGAAGGAGTCACTCCATCACTACCTTGAAGAACCCAGTTTTAAACAAAGGAGAGAACCAAATTCGTTCTCTTCTCTTTTGTAATCGAATTGTAACCGGAATCAAAGAAATACAAGTCAATTTTCTTTTGTTCTTTTCATTGCAATTTTTCCAACATACAACAACATCAACCAACCAACCATCCAACCAGCCAACAACACCACCAGCCGACCAACATATAGAGGTAACATGTGCCCACAACCAAGCTCACAACAACCAGCCAACAACACCACCAGCCGACCAACATATAGAGGTAACATGTGCCCACAACCAAGCTCACAACCAGGCTCACAACCAACCAACCAACAAACAACACAACCAACCAACCAACAACATAGCCACGGGAGCTCGATGACGAGCACAAATAGCAACCAAAAAACAGCCACGGGAGCTCGTGATAAGTTATGGAATTAACAGAAAACTTGCATAGATCTTCTGTTGTGCAAGGAAAACTAGACCCATGCTAGCCTGGCCTGAAAACAAGCATATGGGCAGGTGTTGTTGCTTTTTCTGCGTAGGGAATAGGCAGTGCACGTATTTTGTATCTTTAAGAAGTTACAAGTAACTCATGAAGAAAGGATCAAGAAACTTCTGTAACATCATTGTGGATGTTTCTTTAACCACTATATGTACAAGTTGTGATCTTCATATGCGTTTATTCACATTCAAACCTCTTTCCATCTAAATGGGTTGATTATGAAGAGAGAACAAATATAAAGAACTAAAAAAACTGTATTCCTTTACAAAAAAGGACAAGGAAGAACAAAAATAGAAGAAGACATAATGGAGCAGCAAAGAAAAAAAAGTCACATATCTCTATCTTTGGATGCAACCGACCACATAAATGCACAAGCTAATAAGCTCCACACTAAATTTGTGCATTCAATTAAAGAGTATTTTCTCAAGAACATAGGAAAAACAATTGCACAACGAATTGTAGACAAGTGACAAAGTAATTGAGAAGGAAAAATCATGAAGAAAAATGAGATTCTCAAATAGCTTAAAGTTGACAAAAAGAGAGAGAGAGAGAGAGTTTCCTGCTTATTTATTGTATCCTTAAGTCCATAGAATCTACAATTCATTTGGTAATGAAGATATGTTAGTCAAGAAACTATACTCCTATATACAGAAATAAATCAGAAACATCAATTTGCCTAAGTTCATTTCACAGTAATTATTTGCATGAACCTTGCTATTCAATTAATTAGAAATTGAAAGTTTTGCAAGCTGCTCTAAGTGTTCCTACTCCTTCCATACCTTCTATAATCTCCAAACATCTCAAATTATTTGCTGGAAGCAGTAATTTTATTACTTATGCTTTGGCTGTGAAACTACAAGTAAAATCTACCAATGTATGGCCGAAGAAAATAGCTAAAAAGCTTAGTCTTTGCCAGAATAATGTCATTATCTTTTCAATGATTCGTAGTCCATGACAACTATCATTTATTCACCATGTTTCAATTAACTAAAATTTGTGCTAAATTTGGTGCTAATTCAAGCATAATCTCAAAAGTGATTAGTTAATTAATTACACAAAACGAGCTTGAAATTAATGGCTTTATCAGACTCACAGGGTTCTATCTACTAAAAAACACGAAATTGACAAACAATCTAGAGACTTCAAAACCCTAGAAGAACAAATAGATGATGGTATGAAAAGGTACGAACCATTCTGTCGTCGATCCCCTCAGGCCCGCCGGCGGCCGAGCCCAGCCTCGACATCTGCATCGCTTTGTACGCTTGGTTCTTCCCCATCCTCTGTCGTTCAGGGCGAAGGATTCAGGGATTGAGACCGGTATTTGGTTCAATTTTGATAAATATGAAAATCAAGCACGAAATCCAGGCGAAAGACGAAAATCAAGCACGAAACCTAGCCGCGGGAGATTTCTGGCGGGAGGAGAGGAAGGAGGTAACCCTAGCGTCACCAAAGAAATCAACGAGGGAGAAAAAATCCGAGTTGGCCAGCGGTTTCGTCGATTTCACTCGGTTGGGGAAGGAAATCAGGGAGAGAAAAAAATCCTAGGTGGCAGAGTTTTCAACGGCGATTTCCCTCTTCAACCATAGCGAACAAAAGCAATGAAAAGAAATGAGTGGAAACAAAAAATCCGGCGTGGAGGGGGTGTCAGACGCAGAAACCCGTTTCCACCAGTCTTTTAAGCGAACCAAACATCCCCTTAGACTACCTAGAATAGATTAGCATGATCGTAGGAAATTTGTTCAGTTGCCTTTTATTATACTTAGACTACCTAGAATAGATTAGCATGATTGTAGGAAATCTCTTGTATAAAGCTACGTCTCCTGATTCAATAAAATTATTCAAAGGCAAATATTATTTTCCTTCTTTACAACAATTGAATTTTCCTTTTTGAATAGTATTAAGAAAAAAAGAAGATAGGTACTTATAAAAAAAATGAGTGAAAAGTTCACATGCTTGTGTTGAAATTTAATAGTATAAACGTCAATAAATTTTTTTTTGTTATTATTATATGTTAATAAATGTATTAGGATACGCATCTTGTAGTGCAGGTGACAACCAGTAGGAAGATACTGTTCTCAACTTTTAAGAAAATGCAATATTCCGAATTATAAAGGTAGTCTTAATGGTATTTTGAGAACATCCAAACCCAATATCTTTGAGGATTCGTGTCATTTTAAACGAATCGGGGTTTGCTTTAATTTACCCTGTTTTTCTAAACGTTTATTTGAGGATTCGTCCCCTAGATATCCACGATGAGTAGACCACACACGAGTAACTTCGAATTGCTCACAATATCTTTGAATCCCAAGAAAGAACCAAAATAGTTTAGCACAAAATAATCCATCGAAATATCATACTGATTCAATTTATTCGAGTATCTGGCAATCCTCGCAATTTGAGAAAGTAAATATGACAAGTCAACCAGTGATAAGATTTTTTACACGGAAGCATTCTTCCGCCGTATATTAAATAATAAACCCATCTCATAAATTAATTTTATTATTAAGAACAACAATATAAACGTTTTTTTAACATGTAAAAAAAAACTATTGCAATGATTCAAAGAATTTGGACTTCAAATCTAAAACATAGTATAAATTTCACAATCTTGTTGCGGATTTTTCAAAATTTCAGAGTTTTTCACAAAATCAAGCTGAACTTTATAAAGTGATAAAAGATATTTCTAAACTTTCAAATTATATTAGGAGTCCAGAACTCCTAGATTATTAGACTTTCTATAAAAGTGCTGTTTGTTTCAACTCCTAAAAGAAAGGAAATAAAAAACGAAGTCAAAAATTCATTTTAGTGCTTTTCCAATATTTTTAAGGAAACAGATTTTTTGTGCTTGTTCGTATGGAAATCACATGATGGAAAAGTACTACTCTCTATTTCTATTGTATGGTCACCACAATTTCAGAATTTTGATGCGATAAAGTGATTAGTCCATCAAATCTTCAATAATTTCATTTTAGGGTTTTTTTGTCAAATTTCATGAAAAATTACATAGATATAGGATTTGCACCAAAAAAAGAAAAAAAAAGACAAACTAGCAATAATTAAGTTTTTTTTTAAATGTAATATTTGTACAAAAATAATTAATTTTATGATTAGCATAAGATCATATCATTAGATTACAAAAAAACTAACAAAAGAAAAACTCCGAAAGAAATTGGACGTGAGTTGCTGATTGAATAAAAAAACATATTTTTAAAATGATCTTAATATAAATTAGAAATTACAAGTGGTTCCTATATAATCATCCAATTTATTAAGTGCTTCTCGTAAAAAAAGACCCTAAGCACTCCTATCCCAAATTGGATGACTGAGTGAAAATTTGATTCTTTTTTTTACTATTTTCTCATTGCAGTTACAATTATAGTCCATAAAAATGATGACCGGTTAATTTGAGATTTGTTTTCTCCTGAGGAGACTCTTGTAAATATTAAGATTTGTTAGATACTTCTACAGATATGCTTGATCCAAAAGGTATATACGTAAGAACTCTACACGTGTGGAAAATTTAAATAATGATAGTAATTATGACTAACTTTAATAAAGACAAGGCAAATCAAGGAAAAAATAAATATTTAACTTATGAACCCCTTTCCTAAGATATATTTGACATTCCGATCATCAAGAATGCGGCAAGGTGATGCTTGTCTTTCTTTGAGTTCCAACGAGGATCCACGCGTGAGCCCCACAAGAATCTTATATCGCTCTATCTTATTCATTTTTTTTTTACTTATTTCTACCGTTTCTTTCACTGGTTCATATGCAGATGCATGCGTATGATTATTTTATTTAATTAAACAGGTCTTAATTACATTGGCCAACAATAGTGCTATTTTAGTATTAAATAACTTTATTATGCAATACTAATAGCATTATGAATAAGATGTTAACACCTTGGGCAAAAAACAATACATTCCGATGAGAGATTCCTCTGTTAGCTCTAGATCATTTCTAATTAGGTGATGAGATATAGCTATGTGTTTGAAACCCTTACATAGGCCAAAGGCCTATGATGTATATTTATAGATAGTCAATGTGAATAGGTTGAGTACCCAAGAGTCACCCCCACTTAAGGGGGTGTTACACCATCATAATGGGGTGTGAATGGAGGGATAATGAGGGGGAGGCCAAAGGCCTCCCTCATCTCATAATACTCCCCATTATCCATCCATTACCTTGGGTTTAGCTTATGAACACTTCAGAGTTCGTAAAGCTAATGGGGTGGATACTTCTGGATCCAGAGTAAACTTGTTTGCCTCGTTAAAACCTTAGCTGTGGAAAACCCAGTGGGAAAAAAACCATCAGCCTAAGGAAAAAGAGTACAACCCATAGGTTACTCCCCCTGAACCATACAAGCTTCAGGCTTGTAGGTCTTTCAGATGTCACATCCCTATTCCTTTTACAAGTTTTACAAAAGTACATCTAGGCAGAGCCTTAGTGAACAAGTCAGCTAAATTATTACATGATTGGATCTGCTGTACTTTAACTTGCTCCTCCTCTTGAAGATCGTGTGTCCAGAAAAACTTGGGAGATATGTGCTTCGTCTTGTCACCCTTGATGAAGCCAGACTGAAGTTGAGCAACGCAGGCTGCATTGTCTTCAAATATAGTAGTTGGCTCAAGGTCACCAGTCTTCAGGCCGGTAGACACTAAGATGTGCTGAATGACAGAACGAAGCCAAACACATTCTTTGCTGGTTTCATGGATCGCGAGGAGTTCGGAATGGTTGGATGAGATTGCTACAGTGGTTTGCTTGACAGACCTCCAGGAGATGGCCGTACCACCGAATGTAAACACAAATCCGGTTTGTGATTTCTCGGTGTGGGGATCAGACCTGTAACCTGCATCTGAATAACCAATTAAGGTGGGAGACCCACCCTTCGGGAAATATAATCCCAGGTCTATAGACCCTTGGAGGTAGCGCAGAAGATGCTTAACTCCATTCCAGTGGCGCTTTGTGGGCGCTGCACTGTATCTGGCTAGTAGGTTAACTGAAAACGCTATATCGGGACGCGTACAGTTAGCCAGATATAATAGTGCTCCAATGGCACTGAGGTAAGGTACTTCAGGACCTAGCATTTCCTCCCCCTCTTCCAGCGGACGGAAGGGGTCGTTCTTTACATCCAATGATCGAACAACCATTGGTGTACTAAGAGGATGACATTTATCCATTCGGAATTTTTTAAGTAATTTCCGTGTATATGTGGATTGGTGTAACAGGATACCACCCTTAAGGTGTTCGATCTGTAAGCCAAGACAATACTTTGTTTTGCCTAGGTCTTTCATTTCAAAAGTATTTTTAAGGCTTTCAGATATCCCAGCTATCTCTGCAGGAGATCCAATGAGATTTAAGTCGTCGACATAGACGGCGACTATAATGAATCCTGTTCCCGATCTTTTTATAAAGATACACGGGCAGACTTTATCATTTGTGAATCCTTGCGTAGCAAGGAACTCACTTAGTCTGTTATACCACATTTTCCCCGATTGCTTAAGACCATATAATGATCTTTGAAGCCTAACAGAATAGACGTCCCGAGGTCTATCTGCTATCTCTGGTGGAATTTTATATCCTTCAGGGAGTTTCATATAGATATCTTTATCTATATTGCCATATAGATATGCAGTCACAACGTCCATGAGCTGCATTTCTAGGCCTTCCAGAGATGAGAGGCTTATTAGGAATCGGAAGGTATTCCCATCCATAACCGGAGAATATGTTTTTTCATAGTCTATTCCCGGTCTTTGGGAAAAACCTTGTGCTACAAGCCGTGCTTTGTAGCGCACAACCTCGTTGTGTTCATTTCTTTTTCTGATGAAGACCCACTTATATCCCACAGGTTTTACACCTTTAGGTGTTTGGACTACTGGTCCAAAGACTTCGCATTTCAAGAGTGAGTCCAGCTCTACTCCTATTGCCTCGTTCCACTTTGACCAATCGTCTCTGCGTTTACATTCCGCTAGAGACCGTGGTTCGATGTTATCGTCGTATTTAGTGACGTGAACGGCAATATCGAACGCAAAGTCGTCGTCGACGACTGTGCTTTTTCTGTCCAGTACCTCCTGACCAATCATCTCTGCGTTTACATTCCGCTAGAGACCGTGGTTCGATGTCATCGTCGTATTCAGTGACGTGAACGGCAATATCGAACGCAAAGTCGTCGTCGACGACTGTGCTTTTTCTGTCCAGTACCTCCCCAGTACGTACAAAATTTAATGATGTTTCTCCTATTTGTTCCTCTTCAGGGGAATCTAGGAGGGGAGAGGAAGCTGGTCTGAGCTCAGTATCCTGTGTTGGGTTCATCTTTATTTCTCCAGGATTTTTTCTTTTACGAGGGACTTTGTCCTTCGAACCTGGTGGGCGTCCTCTTTTCAATTGAGGTACAGCCGTTTCTGCTGCCGGCGGATTGCATCCATCTTTGGGGATGTCAATCCTAGCTGGCGTGTTGACAGCAGGGACGTGTCATCTGACAATCTTCTGGTTATCAGTGAATTTATCCGGAAGTAAATGTACTGTATTCTGAAGATGAAGAATCTTTAGGATCTCATCTTCACATTGACTAGTACGCAGATCATAATGAGACAAAGTCTTGGTGTTCCAAGAAATGGTCTTAGAAGCGTCAGGCTTCCTGGACTGTGTGCCAAGTTTAGGAAATGAATCCTCAACAAATTCACAATCATCAAGACGTGCTTTAAATGCGTCACCCGTCTGGGGTTCAAGGTATCTTATTATAGAGGGCGAATCAAACCCTATATAGATACCCAAACGACGCTGTGGACCCATTTTGGTCCTTTGTGGAGGAGCAATTGGGACGTAAACTGCACAACCAAACACTCTCAAATGTGAGATATTCGGAGGTGCACCATAAGCAAGCTGCATTGGTGACAAAATATGGCCACCAGAGGGCCGTATTCTGATAAGCGATGCGGCATGCAATATGGCATGACCCCAAGCCTCAACAGGCAACTGTGATTGCATCAACAATGGACGAGCAATCCATTGCAATCTCTTAATTAGAGATTCTGCTAACCCGTTCTGGGTGTGAACATGTGCTACAGGATGTTCAACTTCGATGCCAGTTGCTAGGCAATAGTCTTGAAAGACTTGTGAAGTGAATTCTCCCGCATTATCAAGACGTAATTTCTTGATTTGATTATCGGGGAAATGAGCCCGCAACTTAATAATTTGTGCCAATAGCTTTGAAAAAGCTAAGTTGCGGGTGGACAAAAGGCACACGTAAGACCACTTGGTTGATGCATCTATAAGTACCATAAAGTACCTAAATGGTCCACTTGCGGGGTGAATAGGCCCACAAATATCGCCATGTATTCTCTCCAAGAAGCTAGGAGACTCTAATCCCACTTTCAGAAGGGAAGGTCTCGTGATCAGTTTACCTTGAAAACAAGATAGACATGAGTAATCACTCTTCTGAAGAATCTTCAGGTTCTTCAGGTTGTGTCCACTTGATTGGCTCATGATGCGGTGCATCATTGCTGATCCTGGGTGACCCAGTCTGTTATGCCAAAGTTTAAATTTCGGCAAAGAATGGCACTTCTGGTGCACAATCATGTTAGCTTCTACTGGTTGAATATATGTATGATAGAGACCCGACGGGAGTCCCTTGAATCGTTCTAAGATAGTTTTTGAACCATCTTTTTGACGAGTTACATACAAATACTCATCCTCATTTATTTCATTGGTTTCTAAGTGATATCCGTTTAAACGAATATCCTTGAAACTTATGAGGTTTCTATTAGATTTCGGAGAGAATAATGCATCTTTTATTATTAGTCTCGTTTTATTTGGGAGCAATATCATTGCTTCACCAAATCCTTCTATTATATTAGATAGTCCTGAAATCGTAATTACAGGATCGTCATAATCATATAAGCTATTGAAATAGCTTCTTTCGCGAAGGATTGTGTGCGTCGAGGCACTGTCCACAAGGCACTCACACTTCATCTATAACATGAATGCAATATTTTAATCTAAAGAAAATAACTATCTTTATTGAAAAGTAAATTGCATTACATGGAAAGTAAAGAACTAAAGATGAAAGTACTATGAGAATTTAAATGCATATAAAGATAACATGGATCTAGTCGAGAAGATCATCCATTTCGAAGTCATCAGCAGTGAACTGAGTAGACGGCTGCTTTTCCACCAGATTTGTTTCAACAGGAGACTTCTGGCTCGCTAGATACAGATCTTGGAGGTGTCGCGGAGTGCGACAGTTTCTGGACCAATGTCCAGTCATGCCACATCTGTGGCATTTGTCCTCCCAAGTGTTCTTGGGAATGGACGACAGCTCAGTGGTCTTCTTCTTCCACTTCTTCTTTCCCTCACTATTGCTGCTCTGGGGCGGGTTGTTTTTCTGGGGTGGACATCTGGCCTGCCACTTAGGGGCTTTCCCCTTGTTGAATTTACCCTTATGCTTTTTCTTCTGCTTCTGGGAAGAAAACATGTGAGCTTCGGGTAGAGGAGCTGAGCCTGCAGGGCGTAGGTTATGAGTGGCCAAAAGCAATTCTCTGTTTTGCTCCGCCATCAGAAGGGTGGAGTGCAATTCAGAATACTTTTTGAACTTTCGTTCGCGGTACTGTTGCATGAGGATTGCATCCTTCTCGTGGAAGGATGTGTAAGTCTTCTCCAACATGCGTTCCTCCGAAACTTCTTCACCACACAACTTCAGGCGTGAGGTGATATTATGAAGTGCTGAGTTATACTCAGCTACGGACTTAAAGTCCTAAAGTCGGAGGTTTTCCCACTCATAACGTGCACGTGGGAGGATTACATCTTTCTGATGTTTGTATCGGTCCTCAAGTGCAGTCCACAATTCCTTTGGGTCCTCTACAGTCAGGTATTCGGCCTTCAGGGTCCGATCAATATGTCTCCTGATGTAGATAATGGCTTTCGCCTTATCTATATCAGAGACGATCACTGTAGTAGCAACCTCAACATTATTTACAGCATTACCCGTACCAGTGGCCGGAGCCGGTGGAGCAGGAGTTGAAATTGTGGCTAATAAGCCCTGGGCACGTAAGTGGAACTTCAGGTCCACATGCCAACTCAAATAATTCTTGCCAGCAGTGTCTAGGACTTCGAAATCAACGCTCGCTATTTTAGCTATTTTATCTATGCATGTGAAAAACATGAATTAATAATAAGGAATTAAAAATTCATGCAATAAACATGTTGCGTGGATCAGCCCGTCACCAAAAAAATAAAAAGTGTCCAAAGTCTAATTATACAGACCAAAGATAACAAAAATCATAAAATTAAAATATAATTTGGAAAACCCTTGGGGGTCCCTGTATTTTGCAAAAATGCCTTCGTCTTCAATGGAATACACCGGTCTTTGACTTTTTACAATTATATCCTCACTACAATTTCTCTCTCAGAAGTAAAAGAAAATGCAAGGAATTTAAATTTGGTGACAAACAGGCTGATCCAAAAACCACAACATTATTTATTTAAACATCCACACAATTTAATAATAATATATGCAACAGGCATAACAATTTTGGACAGTAAACCCTTGCTTTCTTTGAATTTTTTTTTTTTAGACTTCTTGTTGTTTCTATGCGATACTGCCTACTTAATATTTTTAATATCATGTCAGCATGAGCACATAAACATTTATGTTTATTATTTTATTTTATTTTTGAATAGCAATTAACTAATAGTATTAAGTACTAGTTATGCCAACAAATAATGAAAGCAATTAGATTAGATGAACAACAATAAAATTGCTTAATAAACTGAAAAATTCCCGAGTGAACAGTAACCATCGGTGAACAGTAACAATTTTTTTTGAATTTTCCAGTTGTCATATATTATTCTACGGATTATAGTAATTACCTCTAGATCAAAGATCTAGGGACGATCGATACTAAAGATCCGTAGAACGCTGCCTCCTTGCGATGATCCGTCGAACGCTCCCGCTGCAACGAACCAGATCTCAATGTGCAAAAGAGGAAGGAAATATATATATATATTTTTATGGCTCGGGGATTCAAGAACACTTCGTGCTGATAACGTGTTTGAAACCCTTACATAGGCCAAAGGCCTATGATGTATATTTATAGATAGTCAATGTGAATAGGTTGAGTACCCAAGAGTCACCCCCACTTAATGGGGTGTTACACCATCATAATGGGGTGTGAATGGAGGGATAATGAGGGGGAGGCCAAAGGCCTCCCTCATCTCATAATACTATGTAGGATTTTTACTGTTACCTTGAAACTGTTTTTTTCTTAAAAATCACTATTTGTGAAATTAATTGTTGTGATAGCTAGTGGTAATTATATTTGTTTATATCTTCAAATTTAAATGGAAGACAAAGATTTTAGTAATTGGGCACTCTCCAATTACCACATAATTAGATATTCTAAATTCTCCTTAATTAGAAAGGGATAAACTAACTACTGTAATCACCATGTTATAGAGCAGCTAACTAGCCCACATTCGTTTCGTGAGTAGAGTCTCCTTCATCTACATTAATTAACTATAGACTTTAATTTGAGCCGATAGACGAAGCTTGTATCGGATCAACATCGCCGATGTGCGTCTGGTTGGTAGTCACATGATGGTATGTCTCTGCCTCATTCCTATCGGTTAATTCGCTAACTCCTTAGCCAATATCATTTTTTAAAAATTGGATTTATTAGCCAATATTGTTGGTTTTGGGTGTGTAAACCGAAGCCTAGGAAAAAATCAACAGCTGAGAAACCCCACCCGTTGGTCGATCGAAGCAGAAGCATCAGTCGACCGATGGTTTTGACAGAATTAAAAAGCCTGAAAATCGCTCTGGTAAGTCGACTGATGGGGTGCCATCAGTCGATTGATAGGGTAAACGAAACAGCTGAGAAACCCTTATCAGTCGACCGATGCAAGTGCACCAGTAGACTGATATCGGGTCAAGCAGTTTCCTGGTCCGTTTGGGAATCTGTTTCGAGTTAGGGTTTTATATATTCTTGAATTTTCTTTTGAGAGTTTGTACACGGAAAAGAGAGGGTTTTGAGAACACTTTGAGAGAGAGATCATAGAGAGAGTGATAGCCGTTTGCAGGCATTGTAACCTTCTTCAACAATCAAAGAAATTTTGGTGTGGCTCTCGAGGACGTAGGCATGTTTGCTAAACTTTATTAAATCTGGTATTCTCCCATTTTATTTTTTTCTTTCCTGCAAAGTTTTCATTTTGCTGTGATTTCTTGCTTGCTATTTATTCGTCACAAGATCCAGAGGGCGCGGGTTGTCGATAGATTAACCCTAACAACTGGTATCATAGCCTCGTTTGGCAAATATGTGTGTGAGAGCTATGGCAGAAGAAAGCAAATCGAAGATTAAGAAGTTTGACGGATCAGACTTTACCTACTGGAAGTCGCAGATGGAGGACTATCTGTACCAGAAGGATCTTTACTGTCCATTGATGGGAAAAGCAAAGGGAAAGAAGAAGGAGGAGACAGATAAGGACTGAGAAATACTGGATCGAAAGGCTCTAGGGCAGATCCGGTTATCGCTCGTAAAATCAGTCACCCATATTTGTGACACCCCTGTTTTCACACATGGCTGCAGTCTAAGGTGAACCCAGAGATGTCAAACTTACCATGCACCCACACTATGCAATAACACATTTTACCAATCACAGTAATATCCTCTAGTGGAATCTAAAAGAAGTGTAGGTACAAAACAAGCAAAATAAGGGAAGTAAAAACAATAGACATGATATAGAAGGATAAATCTCATAAGTGAAACCATGTTTCAAATGAATAAAACTTCATACACCTGATCTCTGAAATAACGTAAAATATCTCGACATGAATCAACTGGAAATGTAAATAAGGCACACTGCCTCAACAATATAAAAATAAAACTCCAATGTCTGAATAAAACATAAAATCTACTGTGGAGCATCTACTAATACTCATGTGACGACGACTATGCAAGAACTTCGTTATCTTACGGCTCTCCGTACCTCTGTACCGCCTAAAATAAAAGAAAACAACAAAAAAACCATAAAAAGAGCGTCAGCACGTTACAGCAAGATCACCTCCATCCGTCCCCAGAGGAAGGGCTACTAGATGGAGTGGATGCTCTATCTATTAAGCATAGTCTACCTAGATTTATTTTTCATGTATCTAAGTGGAATTAATATTTATAAATCTATAACACGAGACGTAGTACGTCGAGTGAAATAATCCAAATAAGGAAACCCTCATGTATATACCATTGTCTCAAATTATAGATATCTAAATGTTAATACCAAACTAAAGATAAATAGTCTAAAGGAAATCAATAATTAGAAACACACAACACGAGACTGGTACGTCGAGCGAAATAATCCAAACAAGAAAACCCTCATGTATATATTGTGTCTCACATTGTGGATAACTAAGTACTAATTCCAATCCTATGAATAAAAATAGCACATAAAAGAAAATATTCGAAACCTCAACCATAAGGAGTCAATGTCTCGTCTCAATCTACCCTCGGGTAGTTGGCGCAATTATAAGAAAATATCATTCAGCTCAATTATCATCATGAACTATATCATGTGCATCATATATCAAATGTGTATCCTGCTCTTGGGTAAACTACATGGAAACGTACTACAACTGTATATAAATATCATCTCATAACGATACTCTTGTTAGGCTCTTACTCAATCGTTCTATAGTAATAGGTTTTATCTACCTATTTCGGCTACGTATAATAACGATACTCTTGTAAGGTTCTCACATTCACATGTGGATTTATCGTCTGTAATGACCATGAATTTTCGATACTAGTTTAAATAACTTTTTTTGTATTTTTAAGTATTAAATTATTATTTTTAAAAGAGTGTTTACATTTTCTTGATTTTCTAGAATTTTCTATGATTTAAAAATCCAGTTTTACATTTATTTTAATAGTTTTACTAATTATAAATTTAATTGTTACAGCAAAATATTTTTAAATTAATATTTTATTTATTATTATTATTGTTATTAATTAATTTATATTGATTTTTTACTTATTTTCCTCCCTAATTTTATCCTTATTTTCCTCCCTAATTACCCTTAATTATTCTCCTTAACCCTAATCCCTCTACTATATAACCGCATACCTCCGTTCTCTCTCTCCTCATATTTTCTCTCTCCCCTCCTTCTTCCCTATCGCTGCCCAAAACCCCAACCTCCTTCACCCACGCGACCACCACCATCCTCTCCCTCGCCCCCGCTCGAACCTAGATCTGTGCCACCCTTTTCCCAACCCCGCCGTCGCTCAACGTTCACAGCCGTCGCCCTCCATCCCCTGTTGGCCGCCTCTTCCCCTCACCGCGCCAACCTTCACCTCCGCCTCCTCCAACTCCTCTCCGCCTCTCTTCACCAAGCTCCCTCAACCGTCGCTCACACTCGCGCGCTCAACGACGCCCAGCCCTGTTATTTCATCCTCTCACCTCCAAACTCCGACCACAACCTCATCTTCCTTCCCTAAGTCCTGCTCACATCTGCGCACAGCTGCCCTTCGCCACCGACAACATCTCCAAGACCTCCGACGAACCCCTGAGCCCCACTGCAACCCCGACCCTCACCACCAGCTCTACCTCCCTCTTCAAACCGATGCCATTGCAAGCCCTGAGCTCACCAGCCCAAGCCCGTCGCGAACAGCCCCGCCGCCGCGAGCTTTCCTGCTCAACCCCTAAAGTTTAACAGCCCCCTTCGTCACCACCGACGCCGCCGTCTAGCTTCACAAATCAGCTCCTCGGCCTGCAGCAGCGCCGTCGCCTCGTCCGTAGGCCCTTGGCCTCGTAGGCAAGATCCCTATTTCCTGATTATTTGTTCATTATAATTCTTAGATTTGTCGTGAATTAAGTATGTGCAAGATCCATTTTCTCATTTGATTTGTCATTACAATTTTTAGATCTGTTATGAATTAATTAAGTTTATGCATATATTAGTCTGCGATTTGATTACGTTGTAGTATATTTATATTATGATATTCTGTGTGGGATTGTTTGATGAATGATATTAAATGATGAGAAATACTTTTTAAAATGGAAAAGATTATTGTTCACATTGAAAAGAAAAAAAAATATTTTTTTAAAGATAAGTCTAGAATTATTATGAGAAATAGTTTAAAGAAATTATTTTGCAAAAGGATTTATTTATCTTCTGAAATTATAGATTCTTAATATGTCATACTTTATTTGCACATGATCAGTTGCATTTATTATTTCCTTATTGTGATCGAGAACCATTAGTAGTTTATAACTTAGTGGCTTGCGCGTCATGAATAAGACTTAATGATATGTGTGGATGCGTTGATCATACTTAAGGGGTGAACCAGTGATCCATTATAGGCCTAGAAACACAAGAGATGTTGGGGTGGAAAAGTCTTGGTTCGTATGATCGGATGTGGTTGTTGATTATCTTCCAGACTTGCACTAGTGAATTGTTTCGCACTGGGGTTAGTCTGTTGGGCCAGTGAATCGTTTCGCACGTGGTCAGTGAAATCATTTCGTCACCCAAGTTTTGCTTGAGTTAGGATCAGGCTAAAATCGGATTACGTGGTCCTCTTACCAAATTATTTCGTGGTATTGGATGCGCGTAGAGGATCGTAAATAATCAGTTTATCCGGTAATGCGAACATTGACCTATTTGAGATGTGGACCAATGAGCTATTATAGGATGGCTAGTTGCATGACCTTGTTGCTTGGATGATTTTGGTTTCTTCTGATCATTATACCCTAGTAGTGGATTTTATTTAACTGGTTGAATACCAGCTGCATGCTTCTATTTTATTTACTGTTATTGCATTTGGTTGTTCGACCGTTTCTAATCTCCCTTGTGGGATCTTACCGTGTGCCATGCACGCTGACGTACTCCTATTCTCTCGGGTTGTACGTCAAACTTAGAGGATGGACAGGTCTAGCTTCGAGACATGCCAGAGTCCAAGTATCCTCAGCAAGAGTGTTTTGCAGACAGAGCTGAAGAAGAAGCCGAAACTTAGTTTATTTTTGCAGTACTTCCTTTCTATTTCTGTTGGACGATGTATTTTCCATATTTCTTTAGTGCTTAGTTAGACTGTTTTGTAATAAGGGCATGTTTGACCTAAATTTTGTGTCTCGGATGATATACTATTTGTGATATGGCTCCTTTCTGTTCTGAGCTGTTTATTATATTCTTGCTAATTATGATCGGGGACCTATAAGTTCCCACTTTATTGTTTGATGCTTAGCGTATTAGATTGAGTGGAAATGATCTAGTATTTATTTCTCATCAGTCTAATACGTCGCGGGCTTGTTCGTGTCCCGATTCCTAGGTATTTTGGGAAACGGGGCGTGACAGTTTTTTATGATGGCCCATGCAGGTTACGGTCCTAAGTTCCTACAAGTGAAAATATAATAGATAATTTAGACACATATCATATTTCATCTGTAAGACTATACTTAAGCCCTTATCCTATTATATGGATAAATTATGTTTTAGTCTCTACCTTATCACTTTTTGACTCTGAAGCTTCCCCTGTTTTTTGTCTCGTCGCTTTGCGACTACACACTCTCTTCCTATAATTTCTCTTTCCTAGTGCTGGTCATTATATTATTTTATGTATCACACACAGTGTTATATTATATATTTTTCATTAGACTATGTTACTTATACATTTTTAATTGCTCAAATCATGTTCATAAGTGTTTAACATTACTCTAGATTTCACATATACATCACATAGCATATCTGATATTCAGATTATTTTCTTATGTTTAAATATACTTTTGCATATCTACATTGTGCGTGTGCATTTTTTCTGTCATACCATCTATCATTTACTTATGTTCTAGATTATTATATATTATTCGTATTTTAGTGATATACATTAATAAGTTCATGATTTTGATATTCTACATATACATTCTTATTCTTTATTTTTTTAACTCACAACATTTTCAGTACATAATTATCTTATCAGTCAGTTTTGTCTTGTTTATGTTGCTTTAGTATGTTCATATTGGTTTTGTTATTTCTAAGAACAATGTATTTTTATTTTGATATTCAAGTAATTATTCATATTGTTAGGTTTGGAATTTGAGTTACTAATTATATAGCTTTTGTTACATTATCTCGTATCATTAGTTATTACTCTTTTATAACTAATATAAGAGAAAATTCTAAATAGCGTTGTGGGTATGTATGGTATTCACTCATGGGTTGTTAATAGTGCATTTGTATATTTGCTATTTGTTGCTATATTTTTTATATGTATTATTTTGTCATTGCGGCAATATTCATTGTATATGCATGTTATTTTTCAATGTTTATTTTAGAGTGTTTTTAGATTTTTATGTCCTTTTATTGTGTCATTATTTATTGTTCATTCTCTAATCATTATTTTCGATTACTTTGTGTTGTGTTTTACTTTTTCATTCTTTTCATACTTACTATTCACTTTTTATTATAGTGTATTCACGTAGATTATTATATTTATGATGTATAATTTTTATTGATTTATAGTCATTCATCATTTCTAATATCAACTATGTCTAATCGTGTTCTGTTTCATGTATTATAAGTTTTTATGTTCCCATGTTCATCAATTATTTATGGTACGTTTATCTACAAATATCGGTGTTTTATTATACGAATTTATGTCT